TAAAGATAAAATTATTAAAAAAACCAACATTTTTTCAAACATATTTATATCCAATCACATTTCAAAGAAGTTATATGTGTTCAAACAACATCACATAGCTTTCTAAAATTGAAACTGAATATTAAAAATTGAGGATACTTAATTAACTACCCTATTAAGAAAACCAAATCAAAATTGAACACCATTTTGATTTTCTTTTTTATTTTATAACCAAATCAAATTTTTTAAATGCATAAAATTTACAAAAAAAATAATAATTTATAAGTCCTTATAATTTTATTCAATTTTTAATTTGGTCCCTAAAATTGTTTTTCTTTCAATCAATTGTTTCAAATTACTCTTCCGGTCTTTAATATAAGACCTATTTAACTAATTTTCTTAGATTAAAGAAATTAGGTAAGTTAGTTAATTATAAGAAATATGATATGTTTTTCCTAAAATACCATAATCATCTTCCTTAACATCCTCTTTTTTTTTCCTCTTATTTGATTATGGTTAAAGAAGATCTGTGGGAGTAATTTAGAAAAAATTGATAAATATGGTAAATAAATCTTATATTTAGGATCAAAATTAATTTAACAATTAAATTCTATATTAAGAACCGAGAAGTATTTTAGTTACATGCCTCACTCCTTCTCCTTCAACTTGAGAAAAAATTTGCCAAGGACGAACAGGTTCCTGAGGGAAAAGGTGGATGATAAAACAAAAGAAAATGTGAGTTGAAAATTATAGAGTTACAAATTAATTTTCTCTCAAATTTATTGTATGTAAGGTTTTGACATAAATGAAAGGGAAAAAAATGATGAATGCAAATAAGAAATGTTATAAATCACATGCGAGCATTTAATATTTCAATTATTTTAAAAATCGCAACATGATCCTTTTTTTTTTTATGAGATCATTATTATTTTATTTTTATTCTTGCACTTTCAGGATTTCAACTACTTCTCTGTATTAACAAAAGTTACTGTATAAAATATTTCCTTGTAAATGAAAGGGAAAAAAAGGAACGCAGACAAGCCTGTAAATCACATAGATAACTTCACTCTTATGTCAGTAATTTACTAATTTTATTACTGATTCTCAATTATTATTAATTATTCTCTCTGGTTTTAAATATAGAAGATATATAATTAATTTGCATAAATAAAAAATTAGTTACATTAGTTTTTTTTTTTTAAAAATGGATATAGCAAAATACTACTTTCAATTGTTTCTTTACCATGGATACAAAAATTATAAATTTAGAAAAAAATCTATGGCTTAGAGTAACTTTTCAGAACAAGTTTTGAAACAAAATTAAGAAAATGTGTTTAAATCATTATTCCGAAAAAAACTATCTAAAACTGTGCAATGAAATTTAGGGAACTTATATAAAATTTAGGAAAAATTACAATAAGGTTCATTCCAAAAGAATTAAATACAAAAGATTTCTTAAAATCATCAAATTATCAAATTTTTAATTTAAATAATTAATCTAAAATCATGCTTTTTGTTTTAAGCCCAGTGCGTCTTCCATGCGCTCGTTGCTCTTGATGTTTAGATTGGGAAAATAACGTATGTGGGCCATTCTGAAGAGTAGGAAATGACCACGACAACATTAAAGCTGGGACAGACTTTTTGAGATATCTCACGCGCAAACGAAGCAACTTTGAAATTTCGCTGTTGAAATCTTCTCTATGTACTTTTTAAACAAAAATAAAATCAGAAAAGAAGTTCATAATGAAGTACTTTCTGGCTTCGTTGAAATCTTCTCTATGTACTTAATCTTTTCTTTAATTTTGTAGATTAAGAACTAACAAAACATTAAAAATATGTCACAATTTTTCTATTTTCCACAATAAATCTTCATTTTGTTTAAAGATTTATTATCTCGGTTGGGGCTTTGATTGGAAAACATATCGTAAAAGGAAAAGGCAAAGAAGCATGTAATTGGGCAATCATTTTTGTGGGAAGAGGAATGTCTCTACTAATCCTTCTCTCCACCTTTTCTCTACTTAATTTTTTCATCATTAGATCAAATTTTAATAGTTAAGATTTATTTTATAAAGATATTATTAAAATATTAAATAATAAAAAATATATAAACAAATTTGTACCATTAAGTGTTAAAATTTGATATAAGTAGTTTAATATGATAAATTTTTATTATATTAATATTATAATATTTTTACTTAATTTTAAATCTCAATCATTGGAAGTTAATCCAATGATTAAAAAATTAAGAGAAAACAGAAATTAATAGAGACATTATTCTCTCCATTTTGGTGGGGCATGTGATTTATGACATGACCAAAAGACAATAAAGGCTTGAGATTCTGTCAACATTTCTACATACTTTAAATAAAAAAAATCTCAAAACTGTTGACTTGGAGTCAAAAAGGGCTACTGACACAAGTTTTCATTATTTCGTGGAAATTTCCACCGGGAGCTGAGTTGGCCCTTGCCTCTTAAATGCAAACGATGGCTCAATGCTCACATACTCATTTTTCTGTTCTGCCGATCGAATTCCCAAGACAAGTGAACTAACCAAATTAATCGACTTCAAACCTTTCCAAGGTAAGATTTTATTTTAGAGTTTAGACGCACTCACCAAGGGATTAATCAGTATGATTTTTCTTCCTTAGGCGCTATTCTGTTTGTTCTTTATCAGAAATAATAAACAACTCACGAAACTTTGCTTTTTATCCTTCCAGCAATGGCATCTTCTGCTTCTTCTTCCCAAGTTCCTTGTGGCAAACATGATGTTTTTATCAGCTTTAGAGGACCAGACATCAGATCTGATTTTCTCAGCCATTTGAAAAGGGCATTGCGTCAAAAGAACGTAGATGTCTATGTTGATGATAGGCTCGAGAGAGGAGAAGAAATATGGTCAGCACTTGTGAATGCAATAGAAGGATCCATGATTGCTTTGGTTATATTCTCCGACAATTATGCTTCTTCAGAGTGGTGCTTGGAAGAGCTAGTGAAAATCGTGGAATGTAAAAAAGCTAATCAACAGATTGTGATACCAATATTTTACCGTGTGGATCCATCACATGTCAGGCATCAAACACACACTTATGCAGAAGCATTTACTCATCATGAGCAAAGGTTCCCGGACAACATGGACAATTTGGAAAATTGGAGATCTGTTTTGAAAGAAACTGCTCACTTATCCGGTTATCATTCATCAAATTTTCAGTAAGTTTTTTGTCATTTAATACATCATCTTATAGAGTCTTAATTTTTTAAGCTTTTTCTTAGTTTGCCCCCAAAAAATAACTTGAAATACAATGAAGTTATGTCTAATTATGTCTGTGGACTTATTTTTATAATGAGTACCTATAATAATTTTATTTGTTTTTTACATGCTAGAGATGAATCTGAACTCATCAATGCAATAGTTGAAGATGTCTTTAAAAAATTAGAAGTTAACACTCAAATTGTGCCAAGATCTCAGCTCATTGGATTTCATCAAAATTTCACTAATGTTGAATCATTAATGAAAATTGAGTCACCAGAAGTTCGAGTTCTCGGAATTTGGGGCCCAGGAGGGATAGGCAAAACAACCCTTGCTTCTGCTATATTTGACAACTTCTTGTCTAAATTTGAAAGTCACTGTTTCTTAGAAAATGTGAGAGAAGAATCAACAAAGATTGGGTTAAGCTCTTTGCGTCAAAAACTTCTTTCCAAGCTATTAGATCAAAAAGATTACATAAATATGAATCACACAATGAGAAGGTTGAAACAAAAAAAAGTGCTAATTGTAATTGATGATGTAGACAATCCAAAGCAACTAAAAGATTTGGCTGGACAACAACTTCACTTGGGACAGGGAAGCAGAGTCATTGTAACAAGTAGAGACAAGCATGTTCTTAGAAGTGGAGGGATTCATGAAAAATATATACATGAAGTCAGAGAATTGAGTAGAAAAGAATCACTTGAACTTTTCAGTATGCATGCCTTCAATCAAAATCATCCTATTCAAGGATATGAAGAGCTATCAAATTTGACAGCTGCCTTGGTTGGAGGCATTCCTTTAGCTTTAGAAGTTCTGGGTTCCCATTTTCATTCTAGGGATGAAGCATATTGGAAAAGTGAGCTTAGCAAACTCCAAAAGTATCCCCATCAGGATATTCAAAATATATTGAAGGTGAGTTATGATGGGTTAGATAATATGGACAAGCAAATATTATTAGACATTGCATTCTTTTTCGTGGGAGAACAAAAAGGTGAAGTTATTCCTCAACTAGAGGCTTGTGGTTTCAGAGCAGTTAGTGGAATACAAAATCTTATAGATAAAGCTCTCGTGAAGTTAGGTGAGGTTGACCATATTATAATGCATGATTTGATACGAGGAATGGCTGAGCAAATAGTTTGTGAGGAATGTATGAAACATCCTGAATTCCGTAGTCGATTAAATGATGCAGATGAAATATGTGATGTGTTAAAAAATAACAAGGTAAGGGAAAGATACTTCCATTTATTGCTTCTATTTTTTATTTTTTTTATATTTTTTCTAAAAGGCTTAATGTTTATTTTATTTTATTTTATTTTTTGTTTAGGAAACCAATGAAATTGAAGGCATTTCACTGGATGTGTCTCGAATCAAATATTTACATCTAGGAGCAAACGCCTTCTCGAAGATGAAAAAATTGAGAATCCTCAAAGTTTTTAACACGCAATGGTCTACAACCACGACATGTATAGAGCTTCCTTTTGGTCTTGACTCTTTTCCTAATAAATTAAGGATTTTTCATTGGGATTGTTATCCATTGGAGTCTTTGCCATTGGACTTTTGTCCTGAAAACCTTGTTGAACTACGAATAAATCGAAGTAATGTTACAAAGCTTTGGGATGGAGTGCAGGTACTTATATATATACTAATCTAAATTTTATATAGGTTCAGTCAAATTTAATCTATTAGGGCCTTTGGGGTAATTTTTTTTTCGTTTTCATTGTAAATACAGGATCTTGTGAATCTAAGGACGATAAATTTGTGTCTATGCCACAAATTGATGGAATTGCCTGATTTTTCTATGGCACATAAGCTTGAAAACGTAGATCTCTGTGATTGTTCAAGTTTGAGGAGTGTTCATCCATCCATTTTATCTCTCCACACTCTTGTTAAATTGGATGTAGATCATTGCCATGAATTAGAGAGTCTTGAAAGTGAGACTCATTTAGAATCCCTCTCCGATCTCCAAGCTAGCGGATGTGGCCTCAAGAAATTTTGTTTGTCATCAAATAAATTGGAAACCATATATCTTCGAGAAACTAGACTTGAAATATTGGATTTGCCAATCGGACGTTTCACAAAGCTTAGAAGTCTTTTAATTCTTCACGGTGAAAGATTGAGGAGTCTTCCAATAAAGGAGCTGTGTTGCTTGACAAATCTTACGGAGTTTCAGGTTCTTGATTTCAAGCAGGAAATTCACACAGAGGAGCTGCGCTCCCTTTTTTATGCTTGGCGTAATTTAGAAATACTATGTTTGGACGGATGGAGTTACTTGTCGGAAATCCCTGGCAATATCAAGTGCTTAACAAGGTTACAAAATTTATCATTGCAACGTAGTGGTGTAGAGACATTGCCACCTTGCGTCAGCCATCTTTCAAGCTTGACAGGCATTTACCTATTTGGCTGCAAAAGGCTTAAGTCGATACTTGGACTTCCTCCCATGCTTAAAGCATTAGATGCCAATGATTGCACTTTATTGGAGACTGTATCCTCTGACTCTCTAGTTTTCAGTCCGTGTTGGTTTCAATTCAAAAACTGTGTAAAGTTGGATGAGTGTTCGCTTGGCTTTATTGAGGAATCAACTCATTTCTCACTGACTTCAGCTTGTGGGACTGCATTTAATTACCTTGATTTAGCTCGTTACCCAGGAAACAGAGTTCCAAAGTGGATGAAATATAAACAAATGACAGAGGCTTCCAATACTATCCAATTCATGACAGAGGCTTCCAATACTATCCAATTCACTTGCAATCTTGAACGAGCAATTGGCATATTGTTTTGTTGTGTTGCTCCTCATCGTCATCTCAGATCACTGGGACAGCGCCCTCTCGTCACCTGTTATATCACTTGTGATGATATTGTGACCAAGTCCTCACCTTATAATAATAACGTCTTTATGAATTGGATTCAGACCATGTATTTATATGGCCCAGGAAGGGGTTCCCATTTGGTACTAGAACAGGTGATGATGTTAAGATTTCATGTGAATTCTTTCTGGAATGGCGGGATCATGGAAAGATGTATTGCAACCACAAAGTCCCTCTTGAAGCATGTGGAGTACACGTAATATATGACTCGGAGTCAGAGCCTGGGTCGGGTCAAAAAAGAAAGAGGGTTGCTGATATAGGTGTTGAAGATGGAGTCCCTCCCACAAAGCGGCTCAACAATTCTTGGATCTCTCAACCTGCTCCCCTGGGACTGGCATTGCAGTTGGGGTTGGCTACTACTAAATCCAACAAATCTCATGATAACTTCATCTGTCACCCACTGCAACTCAAATTTATGCGCAAGAAGAAACAAGAGGACCCTTTGCAGCTCAAGTTAAATATAAATTCTGACAGGTATAGTTTAATGCTGGTGAACATTTATTAGTAGGATTTAAGGACATTTGCTGAAGGAAAATTCTCAATCAACATATACACCTATCATCTACATAAAGATCCTGATTTTCTCTTCTCTAGATCAAAACTGGTTAAATTAGATGAATATCCCTCATAAAATAAAGATTAAGAATGACATAAAATATAGAGTTAAGGTGTAATTTTAATAAAAAAATTTACATTAAGAGGTATTGGGCACCATAAAATTTATTTTTGTGCAAAAATATATATGAAGTTGTTAAAATGGGACATTTGACATTATGCCATTAACGTCCATTAGTTTACCATTAGAGGGCTTCATGAAGTCAGTTTTAAGTTATATTTTTAACAACGAAATTTATATCAAGGGGCACTAAGCAACATGAAATTTATTTGGGCTTAAAAATATACATAAACTTTCTGAAAAGGGAGAAAATAACAAAATTTTTCAACTCTCAAAAACATCAGTTAACTTTATTCTTTTAGATCCTATGAAATATCACATTTTCTCTTTATTTATTCTTACTTCCTCTTCTCCTTAGTATAATGAACTAATTTGGAAAAAAAAATTGAAGTAAAACAATTACTTAAAAATAGCATATGGTATATGATCTCTCAAAAATATTTATATATATTATTAGATTATATATTAGTTTATAAGCCAAACCAATTAAATTGGAAAAATGATAAATATAACACTTTAAAATAATTTATTTAATTTTTTTTAATCTCCTCAAATTAGTCTATTACGTCCTATATCAATTCCTTGCTTTGATTGAGAGAAAATTGGGGAGACAAGAAAACTAGAAAGAAAAACATGGAGAGAAATAAGTTTTCCCTTGCTTGGATAGGGAAGAAAATATGGGAAGAAGGAAAAGTGAAAGAGAAAATAAGATGGGTCCCATGCCTTATTTTCTCTCCATATATGGAGAGATTTGGAATGGGAAACAAGATTTTCATGATTATCCCTCCTCTCTCTTCCTCTCTATATTTATCTTCTTTTATTATATTTAAAACAATGTTTTTATTAAATAATTTGGTTTTAAAACATAATAATATGAAAAAATCTATAAATCAAATAACTTGATTTTAAATTATTTGATAATGCTAATGTCAGTATAATTTTTATATTACAATATTTAGTTTAATTTAATTTAATTTTAAATATGATATATTTTGATAAGGATATTTTAGTCATTTAGATATTTACTAATTTTCTCTCTTCTTTATTTTCTCTCATCCATCCAAGCAAGAAGGATGATGACAACTTTCCTTTAGTTTTTTCTTCTCTCTATTTTCTCTCCTCTCATTTTCTTTCTTCTCAACTTTTCTTTCTATCTAACCAGAGCATAAGGACAAGAGGTAGTACTTGGATGCAAGCAATGAACCTCATATCTTAGAAGGGAAAGACATCGTTTTGTGTAAATACCTATAAAAGGCTTGGAGGCTGAGAAAATGACATAACAGAGAGAGTGTGTGCTAACTATGATGAGAGAAAGATGGATCAACTTGGAAATAAAAATTGATGAAGAGAAAATATGACATTTGATAAGACCAAAAAGAATTAAAATTAATAGACGTTTATCGGAGTTGAATAATTTTGTTGTTTTTCTCATTTTAGAAAGTTTATATATATTTTTACACCTAAGTAAACTTTATGGTGCCCAATATCCCTTGATATTAACTTTGTTGTTAAAAATGAAATTTAAAATTGACTTTATGAGCCCGTCTAATGGTAAACTAACGGATGTTAATGGTTTAGTGTTCGTGTTAAATGTCCTCTTTTGACAACTTCATGTGTATCAATTCTACATCCAAGTAAACTTTATGGTATCCAGTGTTCTTTAGGATAAACTTTGTTATTAAAATTGCATTTTAATCCTAAAATATCACAGTTTCGATAAGAAACATTACTAGATCCAGATATCAAAAATGAGTTTTGCGAGAGTAATGTTTAAATTATGTTGATTCATGATCATCATGCTACCCTATTATGAAGCATCTCCTTGTAGACAACTTTGGAACTTTTATTTGTCAGATTTCCAACCTAATCTAAGATTAATATATTTAAGCCTTTTTCCCGGCGATGTGTTCGCTTTCCATTCTTGTGATGCCAGCTCTCAAACCCGTGTAATTTTCATTTTTTTAATAAATTGTATTATTTATATTGTGGCTTGCCATTCATTTTATTTTCATTTTGATGCTTTTTAAAGATGAATTAATTCAAAACATGCCATATAGAGCAAAAATATTTGTTATTTTAATAATATTTAGAGTGTTTTTAACTATGGATCTGAGCTTAAAAAAAAGTTTAGGAATTATTGTCAGTAATATATTGTTTTGCCCTTTGACACACTCAATATTTGCGTCATTACCCCAACAAATGTGGCTAAGTTATAATTAAAAGATTGAAAATGTTCTGTTTTTGAAGTTCCTTCGCATGATAAATGTTCACTTTTTATTACTCCTCACTTAAACGGCCAACATAGCCCCTTGTGATGCCTGCTTCCAGACTGTGTAATTTTCAATTTTTTCAATAAATTACATTATTTATATCTTGTTTTGCTATTCATTTTAATTTTATATTGATGTACGAAAATAATAATTAATTTATTCAATATTACGTATTTTACTAATATTTAGAGTTTTTTCCAATCATAGATTTATGCTTAAAATGTTTAGGAATTATTGTCGCTAAGCAAAACAATGTTTCAAACCTTGACAGACTTAATGCTTGGGGGGGGGGGGGAGCTTGGGAGGCTCTCTGCATTAATGAAGAAGTTAGAGAAGGAACTCAAGAACAGTAATAAATATGATGCATAGGCTCTTCATAGTTTTGTTTTTGTTGAGTTTTTTGTTTGTGGTGCAAGAAGATTATTGGATTTGAAGCTTTGGATTTTGGGTCTGATTGGGGGTGCTCGTCTTAGTATGGCACAGGATTGAGAATTCATGAATGAACTGCTGAAATTTATCATTTTGGTTATTTGTCATATTTTTGATATTCTGTTTTGTAAATTGTTTATTTTGTGATGCATGGTAGCTCCGAACTTTGAAGGAAGGACTGGGAAAATTGGTGATTTTAAGCTTGTGATTCACATACTTTCTTTCAATATGTGTTATTGAATTCAGGTAAAAAATATGTGCTATTGAATACGGCTTACTGTTTTGAGTTTTGACGATATAAAATTTATTTCTTTGCAATTTCAGTCATATCCAAACAGTTGTTTTTGCCATAAAAACAATCATAATATGCAATTGCAGCTTGAGTCATCTGCGAAACATATCTTGGGTCTGTTCATATTTTGGCTTCTCCTCAATCATTTATTTCTTTCTTTCATTTTTCTGTAAGAAATCATACGAATTTAATCCTGATTAACGAACGGTCCTTTTTCCTGATGCCCCAGCAGATACATTATAAGCTTTTAGAGGAGAATTCGAAAGTTGTTCAAGACTTCAATGAAGAGCCTATTAGACTACTTTTGTTCTTAGTCAGTACTTGTCAAACAAACATAGATGCTGATGCCTTAGCTTTTAGTCGTTAGTTTAAAAATTTTGATCTCAAGGTGGAGATTTTTACTGGTTCTTTTTGTTGGAGTGAATTTCAATTCTAGGCGGTTGATTGTTTGGATTCAACCTTTCTTTATGTTATGCAACGAGTCTTTATATTTGAGTGGAGAAATTGAAATAAAGCTGCTGAAAAAGTGATTATTAAATAGTGTGTTTTTTTTTTTTTTGAAATCGAGTGTTACTAATGGGCCACAATTTATTGCTACAGCAAGGCTAAATTGTCAAACACACATATGCATATCCACTTAATTTTTTTGTTTAAACATATCGACTTAATTGAATCACACTTCGTACCATGATTATCATTTACTTGCCGGTGTAAATGAATTGCATGCTTGCGTGACATGAGCCGAGGTTTTGTCTTCTGCTAAACTGTATTGCTTTTTTCCATAATGTGTGAGAATACCTTTGTGCTTATTCTTTCCAATGCGTGTGAAGTTGCACACTGTTGTATGTGAGTTCAATAGATGTACAAGTCATCTTTTCCTTTAAATGATTCTTTTTGCATATTATCAATTGAATCAGAATTCTATTGAGCTAAGACTGATGGCCTCATTTAACAGTAGAATTGTGCCTTTTGTTTTTGCAGCTTTGACAAGCACAAAAGATGAGTACAGTGGATGCAACCAGAGCAGAACTTGGTCTTCTGTTTT